GTGGTAACTGCAGACCCTGGAGTCCTTCCTTGTTCAGTTATTTTTCAGGATTAATTCTGGCTCTGTTACAAAGGAAAATGGGGTGTGGGTTGTTTTTTTTTTTTAAATCTGAAAATGTCTTCAAATATTTATTAAGGCTGTTATCTGGGAAATGGAATTCTCTCGACATCTTGTAGGATGCATGTGAAAATGTTGTCTCAACATGTTTCAGGGTTTAGCTTCTAGTTGCTTCATAATATTTGGCAAGTAAGGAGTTTCTTTAGGTAATTTATGTAATGATACGGTGCTATAATTAAAATCTGTAGACGTTTAGGAAAAAATCTTCGTTGGTATGTAACAACTGAAAATAATAGATTTGTATCTCATAGAGTTAAATACTGAGTTATAGTAGTGCTGTTAATATGTTGAATTAAAAAAAGACACTAAGATTATGTCTACCAGTTGCTTTAATGAGACTGTGAGACCTCTGGATAACTACGTGGTTCCCAGTGAGAAAAATGCAGTCGTCCAGATACAGGTGGTGTTCCCATGAAGTGGGAGCCCTTAACAGCTTGCTCGCCTCTGGATTTTTCCCTCCAAAACTAAATAAAAATAGTGGCTTGTCACTAACGCTACACTATGCAAACAAGGATTCTTCCAGGACAGACTCCATCAGTCTCCACACTCGTTTTGTTCTGCTCGAAGGTCTATATGGAAGCTGTGGGTTGTCATCACCTTACTTAGTTTTATGTGTGCACAAGGAGGAATTCGCTCTAGAAATGGTCCATCTGTTCTGCGTTGTGTGGAAGGAATCTCGCTGGACCTGGAAATTGCCATTCTACTTTTTGATTACAGGGAGCTGAGGAATGGTTTACATGCAGTAAGTGCCAAAGAAAGTTATTGGAAGTGATAGTTGTGTGAGGTTGTAGAAGAGCTGACAGAGGGATGGTGTGTTTTCCTGAGGAAAGATGTGTTTATACAGTTGGATATTATCCTGTAACAGAAAGCAAAAGAAAGCTGTATTTCCTACAGCTTAAGTTTTGGTCTCATCCACCTTTTCTCCTTTTTTGAAGGTTGTCTTGCAACTGAAATGATGGAATTCAGATCATCGACAGTATCTGTTGGAGATAGCTCCCGGATTGACTTGAACCAAAAAAAAGTTCTCTGCGAAGGCAAAAGTTGTTGATGCTATAAAATACTGAAGCCAGAAGGCTGTTAGGACTTGTGACCAAATAAACTATTAATCCCTTGATAAAAATAATAAAATCTTTTATCTGTTCGACTAAAAATACACAAATCTAATGTACACTTGCTTTTCATACTGAAGATTTATAGAACTATGGAAAAGTATCACTTACAATGTGTGCCATATTTGTTTGGCAGGTTAAACTTTGGCAGTGACTGCACAGGTGTCTAGTAAAACTGAGGTGACTTACTTGCATAATATGTTATCCTTATCTAAGGTGTCATGATAATGAAGAACATGACCGAGTGCTTTCAGTATTAATGCATTTATACTTGTACATAGTAAATAAACACTTGATTTTGTGTGTGAATAATTGCAGTAAGTTGTGTCTTGATTTATTAGTCCCTAAACTCAGAATCTTTTCAGATGCTGGGAAAAATCAGCTTTACAAACAAAAGCAGTATAGAATCACAGAATGGTTGAGGTTGGAAGGGACCTCTGGAGACCACCTTTCCCAACCCTCTCTGCTCAAGCAGGGCCACCTAGAGTAGGCTGCACAGGACCATGCCCAGATGGCTTTTGAATGTCTCCCAAGGTTGTTGGCAGCCTATTCCAGTGCTCAGAAATTGCAGAAGAAGCACTGGGGCTTTACTCAGAGTAAAGCCTGGGTTTTTGCCTTGGGTTTTTATCTTGGTTGATGGCTTTTCGCTTAAATGTCAGTGTTACCAAAAGGAGGTGGGGTGCTGGAGAGGAGCTGGCCTATGTAAACTGCAAAAAGGCTATTGCCAGGCCACATAATAGAGCAATGAACTGGTAATTTGTAGTCTAAATCTTTCTGAAAGCAGGTTGGGTTTTGGTTTTAGTATGTAATAGAAGTTAGGAGCTGTAACACTAGACAAGCATACAGGAGTCTTTGTGGTTTTCACTATTTGTTAAACCATTTTTCCCTATGCAAAGAGCAAATTATCTGTAATGCTTGTGAAAATACTAATGTGTACTCCTCCACATGTGTGTGTATGCATTTTGTATATATTAAAACATACAAAAAAGGTAAAGTGTTGATGACTTACCATCTTCATAGTTTCAAAATCACGATTCTTTGGTTTCTTCTATGTTTTGTTGTGCTGTAGGTTTCATATAAGCAAAGTGTAAAATAATACATCTGTACAAAAAATTGGACTTCAGAGGACGTCAGGGACGAGGATGATGACAAGCAGCTCTCTTGTAGAGAGGCCTCTATGAAAAGGATTTTAGTAGGCTTCATGGATAGTAACCCACCACATATGTGTTTTTAGTACTAAAACTAGCATAGAAGTTTGGGTCAGAGATGATTTTAAGAAATGCATGTCCAGAAAATGTGGTCTGTTTCATGTTTTTGGCACTGGTACATCTAGTCAGATTTGTGTGTAGTTCAGTGCCAGCAATTCAAGAAAGATGAGAAAATGTGAAGAAGGGGATTAAGAGTTGTTAAGAGTGAGAGACTGGAAAACGTATCTTACAAGAAAAGGACTGCAATCTCTTCAACAGATACGGCTTGAATGTAGTCTTGGATATTTAAAAGCAAAAGACATTTGATAATGGATCAGATAACAGATAAAGACCTTGCATCAGTGGAACCAAGTTCAAGCTAGAAAATTCAGGTTGGAGTTGATACTTGGTTAGCTTTGTAAAAAATCTAGAAAGACTTCCTGCAGTTTGTTCAGGAGCATGCTGATTTTTAATTGTGAGTTTAATGAATAAATTGGTCAGGTCTGTTTGTAGGTATATTTGTCTTGACTCCACTTTTTCCTTTTGCTCTACATCCGATCCTGTATAGAAGAACGAATACACTGCTTTGAGACAGCGCTGTGTGTTTGAATGCTTTATGGATTGTGTGATGCACACTGAAGGTGTAACTGCTTTAGCTTTCGTTATGCTGTGATAGCATAGGTTGCTAAAAGGCTTTTGTAGAGAAAAGAGGCTTAATTTTGGTAATTGATTTTTAACTGATTTTTATTGTTGGCATGCTGTTTTTATCATTTAGGACAAAAGGAATGAAAACTGTTCCTCTATTTACAGTAGCAGAATTAATAAAGAGCTAGCAATTTATTTCACATAAGTGTACACTATCAGGTTTGGGATGTTGTTTGGTTAAAAGATGTTTGTGTGCTAATCCATTTCTACAATTCATAAATGTACTGTGAACACACTTAAGAAAGCACATACCTAGAAAGTCTATACTTCAAAGAATATAGAAGTGGGTATATTAAACTTATTTAGCAGTTTGTTGCTGAAGAGACTTTTTATGTGGCAATCTCTTAGTTTTCAAAGATCAGTTGTTTAAAAATACAATACATTCTTCAAAATAAAAGTATGTGTTTTCTCAACAATAAAAGGCCATAGATGATAACTTCCATTTTCACATTCAACCTATGAAACTTCTATTGGAAAAACTGTCACATATCTTGCTGACAGAAAGCAATTTTTAAAAAATGTAGCTGCTCTTTAAAAGTAATTCTTTTTCTTAGTAGTAGAGATGTAAAGTTTACATCGTTTCATTTTAAATTTTATAGTAAGTTACGTAAAAATGGATTTATAATTACTCTAAGGGTATGTGGTTGATGTTTCACCTGTAGTGTCATCCTATGTTTGTCCTATCCTTTACTACAGGACTGAACAGGAAAGGCTGAAGAATAATTTTTCGATGATTTTTTCCTTTTTTTTTTTAAAAAAAGGACAGTTTCTGTTTTGACGTGACAGTAATAGATGTGCATTGAGCTGCTTTTTCCTGGGTGTTCAACTTTATTGAAAGTCTGTGTATTGTTTATATAACCATCAAAATGATGCTTTTGACAGGGGGCATAACAACGGCTGTGTGAAGGGCTAGAGGGGGAGGAGCACCAGTTGATGAGCAGTTGAGGACTGGAAGCTAAAACGTTGTTGTCATGGAATTGTGTTTGAAACATGCATCCTGACCTTACATCTCTACAGAGAAACGAACTGTCCTCGTAAGGCGTGTAGTGGCCTCCAGCAGATGGAAAGGAGAAGGACCGAAGAGAATGAAAAGAGCTTACTGCTTTGTTCTTTGTACCATCCATCAGAAAATGGTTTCATTCTGTCTCTGCTCTGAGAATTGGGTACTTCTGCAGCAAGCAAGGTCTCTAGTTGTGACTGATAAGGCACTCGTGGAGACTGTACCAGGCCAAATTAATGCAGAAAGCTAGAGATCTCACAACGCCCATTATACTGGTGTCAGCTTCAACGTAGGCTTCGATGGGTGTGGGTAGACATGAAAAGGTAGTGAATAGGAAAATGTATGCATGATGGAGACATCTAAAACAAGCTCCTGTGGCCAGGAGCGTGTCTGTCAAGTATGCCTGGCCATGCTCCCTTCCAGGCTGAAGAATGAGAGGATAAGTAAAGAAGCTGATGTCGCATTTCTGCACAGAGATTTTCATACAGTGCAGAGCACTGCAATGCACGTCACAGACCCTGGAGGAACTGTATGCTGGGACCAGAGTAAAATACAAGAACTGCACCAGTAACAAAAGCTGAGGAGGGGCTGTGATGTGAGTAGCATCGCTCACAAAGCAAATAGAGTCTGTGACTAAGGGGGAATCGGGGAAAGCTTCTGAAGGCATAGGAATTGGTCCAAAGGTGCAGGAGTTTAAAGAGATTCCGTTAACATGAAATAACTTCAAGTTTTGTCCTTGCCTATCTGCTTGCTTTGCCCATATCTGTATTTTTCTGTGTTCTTCCAGGACTGAGCTCTTTCTAATTAACTGATTACAGTAAGCAGAATGGCTTTGGTGTTTACACATCCCACCACGTTAACTTGTAGTGGGTGTTCTAGGTGATGCTGCCCGCTTTTGTTCTGTTTCAGGGACCTAAGTTCATGTTCTCCCAGTGTTTGCCCCTGCAGAGCAGCTCACTTCTGGGTCCTGTAGTCGCGTGGACAAAAAGAAGGAAAACAACCATCATAAATATATTGGTGAAACCTTGTGGTTTTGCAGGTACCAGGTACAGACCTCTTAAGCGTGTAATTAAGATCAGAAACAAAATTTTGTACAGTAGGCTGTTTGAACCAAAAGTCCTAATGAAAATAGTACATATAACGGACACACTGCTTGACGTTTTCATTTCAACATGTAAAAAGCACGTACAGAAATTCTCATTGCATAAACAGACCTGCAATTTGAATCAGAAAATGCAGCATATCTTGATACAAAATAAAGGAGTGAGTTATAAAAATAATGTTGCTTGCCCTACGTTGGCACTTCATTTCATAGAAGTCTTCCCTTGATTTTGGAAAAATCATGTTTTTCTTGATTAATCACTTCAGCTTTGATTTTGGCACACTAAAGTGAATCAGAATTGGATCTGACCAGCAAACTGTCAGTATGGAAGTGACTACTGCAATAATACTGCTTTTGCAACAAAGCAATTGTGTATGCCAAGAAGCTGTGTTTTTAAAAGATCTTTATGAGCCTCTAGAACATTTCCGAGTTCTGGAGCAAGTCTTTCTGATAATAAAGATGCTGAAATGTGGTTATGCTTTTATCTGAAAGGTGGTTTTAAGAACCAGTAACACCTTGTCCTGAAGTATGCACACTTTGCTATCACTTTGAATTGTGAATTAATATTTACAATGAAGTATCAGAAATAAAGGGATTTTTACTTTTCTGGTACCTGAGAATGCTTTCATAAGTACATCAAGTTAGTCTATAACGTTTTTTACTTCTTTAAATCCACCTTAATTACACTTGGCATATACTGTGCTTCCCTCTATATATCTATAGTTTATACTTACTTCAGGAGATCTCCAGAAAGACCAGAAGACCACTACCAAAATGTAGAAGAAGAGGCAAATCTCACAAAGATTCATCCTTTGGACTTTTACAAGCCCTTGTAGTTCACATCACCAGGCTA